TTCACCTTGACAGAATATATTACTTTATCATGTTTTTGCCAAATGACTTTGTACCTATCTATTCCAGAACATATGACATTGTAATAATTTTGCTTTTTAATTTGTGTGGTTCTTATATACTCAACTAGAGAGCAGGAGCCACGTTAAGTTAATGGCATGCTCTTTTGAACACAGATGGTCCCTCATCAATTTTATTTTTAGGAAGAATGGCAAACAGAAAAATAAAGAAATAAAGTTTTGTAAAGGAAGTAAGATTTTGGTCTTGCTTTAGGGCATAAGTCTGGTAAGAACCTCAGATAATTCACCAACGCACAATCTCACCTATACAGATGCAGAAGGAATCTACTAAACACTGGTTCATAAACTGCCTGCATCTGGATCATATGGGGGATGGGCATTTAAAAAACTACAAACCAAACACGCTCACAGCTACTGAATCAGGAGCTCTTAGAGTGCCCTTAGAGTCTGTATTTTAATAAGCTTTCAAGGTAATTCTAATGCATAGCCAAGCACATAAACCATGTCTATGCTACATTTTAATCCACTCAGGTAAAGACATTCAGCTTCCTTTCAGAGAAAGTCACACACACACACACACACACACACACACACACACTTACACACACACACAAACACAAGAAAAAATCTACTTAGATAACTGAATGAGCTGTGTTACCAACCATTACCATGGTCATAACTGTGTTATAGCCTAGCCTTGAAAAATAATGTCTATAAAACTGTGTGCTGTGATAGATTTTTAAGTAATACTTTTTCCCTTAAAGTAATAGAAAATAGTTTCAATTGTATCATAGTGTCCTTTTTTTTTTTTAATCAAGTGTTTTTTGTATATCTGGAAGGACAAGGAAATATACTCTGTGGCACTGGACATGAGAGAAGCAAAGGGAAAATAATGACCAAAACAATTATATTTCCATGAACTTCATTCTGTTTCCACGCAAGGATGAAGTTCCCTAACCTCCCTAAGCCTCTTTTATTCTGCCCACTCAAGAACAGCAGGATACCGGGCATCTGAAAAGCAGGAAGATGACAGTGAGTTAAAAGGTATGCAGTCATGTTCTGAAAAACAGCCAGAGGCTGTGTAGCCAGGATCCCATTTCTCAACCCAGATATCTACAGGGTAAAGACATTTCTGTCAAATGTCTGTGTTCATTCACCAAATTCTCACAAGCATTTATAATCTGACTATACGCAGAAGAATGTAGATACCCTGAAATACAGCGAAAGTAATATGGCTTCTATTCTCAAGGAACCGAACATCTACAAAGAGATGTTGCAACGTATGTGAATATGTATCAAGGCGCCATTCCTGTTAAAAGTGTAAAACCGAAGATAGTTTTGAGGAGGGAGTAGCAATCCCTTACGGCTGCCCTTCTCAGGAAAATTTTTACACAGGAAGTCATGTTTCTTTCTGGCCTCAAAGCATGTACTGAACGTGAAGAGAACAGGGAGAGAATGGAAGGAGGAAAGTATCACTGTATGCTTCAGCAGAAAAGTGTGAGCTAAGGTGCAGGCATGGGAAAGCGGAAGATGTTCTTTGGGCATATCAACATACAGTGTGGCTGGAGTACCTAGCCTTTGTGAAGGTCGGTGTGTCTCTGATGGATGAATTGGAGGGCAGCAAGAAGATAGGAAATAGACAGCTAGCAGAGCCGCAGTCCTGACGGCAGCGCGTGCCCCAAGCTCTCCACCTTCCCCCGCCCGCGGCCCAAGCAGCAGCCCCGCAAGCAGCCCCAGTAGCAGAGCGAAGGCCGGGTGGACGCCTACAGTGACAACCTAATAGAGGACGGGACCTGCCAGGACGCGGCCATCCTGGGTTATAAGGCCTCGCCCCCCGTCTGGGCCGTCCCCGGGAAAACCTTCGTTAACATCACACCTGCTGAGGCTGGTGTCCTGGTTGGCAAAGACAGGTCAAGTTTCTTTTTGAATGGGCTAACGCTTGGCGGCCAGAAATGTTCTGTGATCAGGGACTCACTGCTGCAGGACAGGGAATTCACCATGGATCTTCGTACCAAGAGCACAGGCGGAGCCCCCACCTTCAACATCACTGTCACCGTGACTGACAAGATGCTAGTCCTGCTGATGGGCAAAGAAGGTGTCCACGGTGGTATGGTCAACAAGAAATGTTATGAAATGGCCTCCCACCTGCAGCGTTCCCAGAACTGACCTCGTCTGTCCCTTCCCCCCACCACTCCCCACTGCTTTTGCACCCATCTCCTTCCCACACACACACAAACACCATTTTATTTTATATATATTACCCTACACCCCTTATTGCTGCCAAAACCACATGGGCAGGGAGCCAGGGCTGGATGGACACCTCCCCCTACCCATACCATTCCTGTGTGTGGTTGGAAAACTTTTTTGTTTTTTGGGGTTTTTTTCCCGAATAAAAAAAGAAGAAGATATGAAATAAAATAATGTTTTCAAATGCACTCTTAAAATATGAAATCCAAAGTGTGTATTACTATTTTCAGGAAGAAGGAGCAAAAAATGAGTAAGATCTGGAGGCAGGAAGTACGGTACTCTGAATAGTAAGGAAAATTACTTACTGGGGATAGAAACTACATAATAATGGGAGAGGTGAATAAAGTGAGTTCTGGGGAGTCTACTACTAATTTCATTACCAACACAGCCACTCTAGGTCCTGTGCGCAAAGTAACGTGATTAATTATGCGTGGAGACAACATCTGAGAGAGTTAAGAACTTGGAATAATCTTAACAAATCGTATTTGTGAAGATCGATCTTTTAAAATGAGATCATGAAGATTAAAAAAAATAACTTCAAGACTGTACTAAATACAATTTTGAAATAGCCTTACAAATATCTTGTCTATCATTGGAAATAATCAATAATTGGTTCTCCTCTGTGTGTTCAATCATAGTCTAAATTACGATTTTTATCTTTGGGGTATTCATTATTGATTATGGGCTATCTCCCTCTGAAAAGGGACTTTCTATGCTATAAAATAGGGTCTAGAGAAATGAAGGAGGGTATTAACAAGTTTGTCTTTGGGTTCTCTTTCCACTGAGATCCTTGAATGTCTGAACAAGTCACTTTCAGTTTGCCTAAGCCTTTCCTGATGTGATAAGATTCATTTTCCTAATATTTCAGAGTACAATTTCAGAGTACAAAATAATCTACAGAGATTTCTGTTATGAAGAAAGAGCAATTAAGATTCAAGTGATACTGTGTGCTTTGCACCTGAGGATTCTAACCCAGGGTTAAATTATATTGTTATAATTCTAGTTTCTGTTTGCTCAGGATAGTAAAAAAAAAAAAAAAAAAAAAAAACAAAAAAGAAAAAAAGGCTTCTATACTATGCTGAGTTTTCTAATACACATTTCTGGCTGCAATTGGAAAATGCAAAATTCTGATGTTTACTATTTTCATATTATTTCTTGTTTAACGTACCATGTTATATGAATTTTTCTAAATGTTTCCACACATGAAGGTTAAAATTGAGAATGGTCATATCAACATATAGATCCATCTGGGTCCTATGCAATACTAGTAAAGAAAATACTTTTGAATAGAAGAGATACACGTGAATGTTTAAAGAAAGTTATATCATATACCTTAATTTTTCACTGTTAAGACTCGCATATGAAAAATCATGATAAATTCCAGAACTACAAATCATTTAAAGCAAGTGTGTTTTTATAGTTTTCTCTAGAACTTTCTCTAAAGAGTGAACTACTCTATTATATGTGAAGGTTTATTTATAGACAGCAGATGTTTATAGACCTGATGAGGATTCTAAAACCAGAGAATCAAATATTTAAAATCAATTATCAAGTAAATATAAATCAGACTAAGAATTTTGATTTGCACATGTTCCAGAATATTATACAATGAGAGGCATTGCTACTCAGTTTCCAATTATTAGAAACGTAAAATAGAAAAGTCTGCAATTTTCTTATATTAGGCCCTTTGTTCCTATTTTATTAGGGAGGCTTGGTGGTATGGAGAAATTTGGAAGGCCTAGAGATGTGTATTCTCACTTTGGTTTTGATATACACTGGTCACATGACCTTAGGCAAGTCCCATATGAATAATACATACATGCAATGGAGTTAATAACTGCCTTCTGTGTGGTTCCTATAAGCGCTAAACAGCATTAAATGAGATAGACAACTTAGTAAAGATCCAGGACAGCACTTGGCAGCACCTGGCACACAGTAGGTGCCTGGTAATTGTTTTCCTTACTCCCTTCTGTTTCTCCCACCCTGAAGACGATATTTCATTTTTTGTTTCCTATCTAAAATTAGTTATTTGTGATTTAAATGTTTAATAATCTGTAACTGGTTACTTTTCCATCAGCTGCTCTAAAAATGTCAAATCATCACGTTTACTAGGCAAACTACTCAGCAGAGACACTATAAAGAACTTCTCACATCTTCCTCCTTCCTCCTTCATCAAACAACAGCCATTTCCTTGGCACTGTGATCAATGTTAACAATATTAACAGAAATGGCATATGGCCCCTGCCCTTAAGAATCTCAGCCTCTAGTAGGAGAGACAGACATGCAAACAATTACAATATAATTGAATCTATAATCATGTAAATGCATGAACAGTTCAAAATCTCTCCTTTAATTTTATAGTGGACTCTACAAACAATGCAAAATATCCATATCAAATTGATTTGGTAAATATTTGCTTATTATCTGCTATGTGTTAGGCTGATGAAATTTAAAAAAACAGAAACAGACTCACAGACATAGAAAAAAAACTTATGGTTACCAGGGAGGGAAGGAGGTTGCAAGGGATAAATTAGGCACTGGAGACAGCATAAAATAGATAAACAAGTTCATACTGTACAGCACAGGGAACTATATTCACTAACTTACAGTAACTTACAGTGAAAAAGAATATGAAAATGAATACATGTCTGTTCATGTATGATTGAAGCACTGTGCTGTACACCAGAAATTGAAACAACATTGTAAACTGACTATACTTCAATAAAAATATATTAAAAAATAAAACAAATAAAAATAAAAGTAAAACAAACATATCAGGGACCATAATAAAAGTGGAGCTGTACTTGACTCAGTACATGTCAGGAAAGTGCTCCTGGGGCAATGTTGTCCCCTTTCATCTGTCACTGGAGACCTAGCAATGTGACTTCAGATAGAGACTTGTGTATCCTACAGTTCTCACTCCTTTAATGATGTGGATCTACTGCATTTCATCTGGAATAACCATTCTTGATCCTCAGTGTTCCTTCCTTTCACTCTTCATAAAAAGCCTCACATGTTGGTATAGTCCAGCAAGGTACTCCTCTTCCCCAAACTTACACAAAACACAAAGAGTAACAGAAAAATAAAGTGTGGAAACTGGACAGGATAAAATCAGTGGTGTAGAACTAACACTGTACCTCATACCATGGAGCTTAGTAGTCAGATCAGACTGAGTTACAGGAATAAAAAAGACACTTCTCAGTAAGATACTCTTCCTAAAAGGTCTACACTGCATTGCCGTTCCTAGTAATGTTCAGGAGCCTCACTTCCCACCCTATGAAGTCTTCCAAACCACTGACAGAAATCTTAGTTCACATGGACTTGCAGGGAAATACTTGATTTCCATTTGTCTGATGTGAAAAATGAAAGCCCAGATAGGTTAATTGTATTGCCCAAGGTTACTGAAAATTAGTAAATGATAAAGCTGAGATTCAAACTCTGTCTCATTCCTGGTCTGCCCTACACAACTGCAAGGAGTTATAGCTACAAAGAAAGGGGGCACTAACTCTGCCAGGAGGCAGATTAAAGAATCTATATGTAAATACTCCTATAGCATAGTGTTATTAAGTTGTCAGGGTATGATGCTATGCTTCTATAAAGTAAGGTAATATAGTTCTAGGAGGACAAAAGATTGCTTTATATTAATACTATATTTGAAAACCATTATGTAATATTAGTGAAAGATATGTTAATTAAACTCATACTAGTTATGCCATTATAAGAGATAAATGTATCGTGCTATAAATTAAGGACTGCTAAAAATGAATAACAAAATATGCCTTTATTTATGTATCTTAAAATAATTTTCAATAACATGTTCTATATCTATATAAGAATGACTCTGATAATATTTAGAATATATAATAATGTAGAATGATTCTTCTTTTTTAATCAAGATAGGTTCTACAAATCATATCAAATTATTTATACACCATGAGGGTTACTTCTTGCCTCAATTAAATCACTGAACATGTCCTTACAAATACTAAACTTGAAAGTGTTACATTGATTCTTTAAAGGGGTAAGTCTTAAATAGGTGGATGAATAAGCTTTTACTTAGTGGGGGAAAAATAGTATCTATCTCATATGGTTGTTCTGAGGGTTAAATGGGAAATAATCTAGAATTTTTAAGAATGGTTTATGTGTCTGTTTTCACTGTCAGACTTCGGGAAAGAGTCTGTCATAGTCTCAGTCCTGCGTTACTGTCAAAGCACTCTTAATATTAGATACATTCCTTAAGTAATAAAGTTATTTTTCCTATAAATATTATAAAACTATAACTTGACTACAATTCTAATAGTGTAGAAAAATGAGATCTGTTACATGGATAAATTTACTGGATTATATCCACTATACTTATTAACTCCCACCATCTAATTATATGCACTAAGAATCTCAAATATTACATTACTTATAGGACTGTTTTATGCCACTTCAAGTTATTTCTAAAAATAAGCATGTTAGTTTCTATGTGATGTGAAGTCTGGATAAATACCATTGTGCTGTTGGTATACACTTGATCAAGGTTTTTAATTTAAATGGGAATGGGAAACTAAATTCTCTTTGTTTTAGGTTAATAGGAGATTTATAGGGAAAGCTAGATTTATCCTTTCAGATTTACCTAAGTATAGCATCTTAATCTGATTTTCCAGTGCACCATATTTAGTTCCTGATCCCAAGTTAATTCTATGTGTCTCATTAATAATCGATTTTATTCAGTATTCTTATTTTGTTTTGGTAACAGTATGTGGTAGAAAACTTTTTCCAAATACATGTGAGTTCCTCATTTATTCATATTCAAAATATATATTCCAGGATGCAAGGAAGGATTACTTCATCTAGGCTGTTACAAATGCCTTAGCTTTTCCGTTACTCATTTTGAGATGTGCACCTTTTTAGAACTTTCTCTCTCTGACATAGCCTATCTTTTACTTTAACTGTCTGAGAGAGGAAGAGATTTTAGATCTGTTGGGTTTTATAAACCTCTTCTATTTTACACAGGATGATACATGATTCAAGAATTGTCTACCCAACAGTATGAATTCATACACATTTTCAACTTTGTTTAATATATTATGTATAAAAGTAAAACACCGCTTCTGCATCTTCTACCTCACACTGCCAAAAATTACTAGTTAGGAACTGTAAATACAGTCAGTTCAATTAATTCTCATTATTCACAGTTGTTATGTTCTATTAAGTTGCTGCAACCACTGAATCAGCAAATATTGAACCACTGCCTGTGGGGAAAATACAAAGTTCAGTTCCTGGGACCTCTGGTCACAATGTTTCATCATCTGATCAATACATAGCCGATCTTTTTTTGGTATGAGTTTCTGTTTTAAAATCCCTTAACATTTAACACATTAAAACTCACACCTTTAACATGAGTTGAAGTTTCATTAACTCATTGAACTCATGGCCAACAGCACTAAAATTCTTGCCTGAGTGAAATTTACCAAACACATGAATTTTCTCCATAAGACACATCACAGCCTTTTGTACTGAGGAATACTAGACAGCACTTCAGCACTATGCTTGGGGGTCATTTTAAACAGTAAAATCACGAACAAAAACCATGAGAAACAAGAGACTCTAAACAGACTGCAAAAAGGACACTTGTTTACAGTATGACAGCTGAAATAAAAGACGCGAAATCACCTTGTTTGACCTCAGCTGGGAATGTGTGCACAGGCTGACTCAATTTTCTTGCTCTTCTGCACTTACCTACAAATGATTCTGAAGTACCCTGAGTACTGATTTGAGGGTTACAAATAAACCAAAGAGAATTTGCAAATACCGAATAATACTTGCAAATAAAATAATAAGGATCAACTGTATATTGTCTGAATTTCCATGCTGGGTCAGCCAGCCCAATAAAGTTTTCTGACTGGTTGAGAAGGGTTTAGAACAGATTTTAAATAATGTATTCCATAATGAACTAAAATTATTTTAAAAATGTATCAGTCTGAAAGACTTATAATGCTGTTTCTACTGGAACAATATGAACTTCATCAGGAAAGGAGATTCTTTCATGCCACCACTCTACCAAGTTTCTGAGTCAATGGAACAGCCATGGCATCAATAATTTCTAACACTGCAGCACATTTTAATGTAATATGACATTAATTTATATTTTAATGAATCAGACAGATTTTGCCAATACTGTAGCCAAATAGGCATCAACTATTAAATTACATTATTTCAAAATAATATAGAAGAATACTATTGGTTATAAGATTTTCTTTTTGCTATTTATTTAGAAAATTCAAACATTAATTTTAAATATATGACAAATATATTTAGATGACAGAAATATTTGAGCTTGGCATAAAATTCTCTGGATATACAGTGATGAAATATAACAACAACATTTCATTTTAAGAAAATTCCTAAGTAAATATTCCAGTAATCTAAAAACAACTCTAAATTCTAGATGTCTAATACACATCTCTAGAACTAAGTTTTGTAATCTAAGTCTCAGTGTAAGTTTCAAAATATTATTGACATAAAATTCTATCTTACTAAAAAAACTAAATCTTAAATGAAAGTAAATTAATAGCTATATAAATGGAATACAAGTTTTAATTTAAGAAATCAAAGTATTAATTATTTAATATCCTACTAAAATCTTTACCAGTATTTGTCATAAAGTGCTTATTCCCTCAAAATACTTAAATCCCATTTTTGCAATGAGATGACTGCAGTTTTCTTATCACAGAAAAGTGTTTTGTCACATTCGATAAGACTGATTTTATCTGTTCATTGGCTATTTGCAATAACCTAAAGTAACAATCCTACTTCCAGTCTTTTGCTCCTTCTTTCCATCAATTACTCTTCTAAAATATAATCTCGACTAGATTATTCTGATACTTGAAAAAACTCGCAGCCAACAAAATAAAACCCAAACTATCTTCAGTCTTAAAAATACCTTTATTGTAGTATCCTTGTCCCGTTCTCTAGCCTCACCTCTTGCCATGCCTCCTCCACACATTCTACTCTAACAATAATGTAATAACTTTAATTCGCCCCAAACATGCTATCGTTTTATGTCTCTGTGACTTGCACCCCTATCTTAGAATCCCTTCCCGTTAGCCTGCCTAAAGATCTCTTACTTATTTAAATCCCTCAGGCACTGCCTTCTCTGCAGAGTTTTGTCTACTTGCTTTGAGAAGCATGTCGATCGTTTTTCACTTCAGAATTTTTCACGTCCATTTGTGGCTGTCAATGTCAGATAGGAGTAGGCTTCCACAAGACTTAGTGTCCTTGTCTATTAATATTCCATATTTTGTATTATTTACTTTGTAACAAAAATATTAGCATAGTGCTCCTCATAAAGTAGGTGATAAATAAATGTGTGTTGAATGACTAAATGAAATTAAAAGTAACCTTTGTCCACTCCACATTCACTGTAAATTCGGTTTAATACAGAACACAACAGTGGCATGATAATTCTCCAGTCAATAAAGATTCATCAGTAACGAGAGAAAATGGGAAAATATTTTCATTCATTATACTGTTAGCAAAACTCACATTTAAAGAATTAAAAGTATTAAGCATTTGATGAGAAATTCATCAAATATCACTGATTGAAATATGTCAAGCTTTATTTTACCTTAGATTTCCATACCATCTGCTTTCAATGGATCTGAAGTATTGTGTAAGAGTAGGAATTAAATGCAATAAAATATAGGACTGATAACAGCTAACAAAGAATGCTTTAATTACCTGGGCACTTTTTTAAGTACTTTAGCTATTTTGATTCATTTAACCCTCGTGGCATGAAATGATATAGGAGCTAGTTTATCAATCTACACTACGAACAAATAAAATAAAGATAGAGAAGTTAAAAATAAATAAGTAAAACAAAACACTTGCCCCAAACTACTCAGCCAATGGGTGCAAGAGCCAGAATCAAATCCAGGACTCCCACCCCAGAGCCCATGCTCTTAATCACTACTTGACAACCCCTCTAGTTTAGGTGAGAGAAAGATGCAGTAGGTGTCAGTAGACCCTTGCTATGAAATAATGGCTAACCTGACCATTAAATTACAGTCAACATGTCCTTTGACACACTGCAAATACAAATAATTTTTGATTATTGAGATCTTATTCTGAACCAAGTACTTTGCATATTATTCTATAAAACAATTGCACAATTGTACATGGCCAGGTAGTAATGTCTTAATAGTACTTGTTGACTAAATGAATAAAAGAGAGGGTACCAAGAATAGTTTTAGTACCATTTTACTTTTTAGAAAAGAGAAAATTTAGATAACTTACTCACTGTCAAACAGTAAGCAACTGTGCCAGGATGGAAATTTAGGTATTTCTAAGAGATGATGCCTAACTGGA